GGACATCCAGTGTTTGCTTGATGGTTCTGGATTTTATAAAAGAAATTTAAGAAGCAGAAGTTTTCATTCCCTGGGACCATGACAGGAGAGCAAGAGCTGATCAATGGAAAGAGCTGATAGGGGAGGAGTTGTCTCTTTGGGAAATGTTCTTTCAAGTTTAACAAGGAAAAAAAGAAGGTCTCTAAAGAAATCAAATAGGGTTATTCTTTGTGCCTATAGAATGGAGCAAGAGGGATAATCCTTCCTCTAGTGTTTAAAAAAAAATCTGTAACAGGATTATAATTGTAAGATAGCATAAGGATGGATACATTAATAGCAACCTGTATGACCTCCCATAGCTCTCCAACACAAAATACTAATTTTAGATGAAAAGGAGTTTCGTTGCCCAAGAAACAGTGAATGGACCAAAGAAGACAAAAAGAGCAGAGGGAAGAAGAAATGGAAATTCTTCAAAAAAATTATTTTTTGATCTTTTCTCTTGAAAAAAGAGAGAGAGAGAGAAAGGAAAAGCCAAACCCTTCTGGCTGCCTTTTGGGTGCTTTGTTCTTTTCCCTTGTTAGATATCTCTTCTGAGCTGTTTTATCCTGTTGTGTTCTGGAAAATGATTTTTGAAATGTCAAAACTTCAAGCCTCTTTTGTCAAGGCTTAAGCAGTTCCTCTGAACTTTGAAGGAGACCCCAGCATGAGAGGCATGAACTTTTGATGCTGCCTTAACTGATCTGGCTTTGATCAGTGTTGAAGAAGAAAGGGGGGTAAAAAACACATGCATACAAAACCCCAAACAAATCAATCCCCCAAAGTGCTGGTGGACCTCGTGGAGCCGGGACGTGGTTGTGTTGCTGTGTACTGATATTCTCCATGACACTGCAGTGCTGCTCTACAGCGTAGACGGGCATGTGAAGCCAACATCATCGCTTGAGATGTGTCCTGGAGGACAGGATGGGGATTCCTGGAGGGAGGTGATGATTATGGGTGGAGGGCTGCTGTTTCACTGTTGTATTCCTTTATTTAGTTGATCGTTGTTTTACCCTGAGGCCTAAATGTGTCCACTAAAGGAGTATTTCATAGAGCTTTTGAGTGGGAAGCACAAAACGGTTGTCCAGAATGTTACCTGGGAGGGGACAGGGGTAGCAGTAGAGGACATCAGGGTAGGCAGTTTCTATGGGAGTCTTTGGAGAGTGTCTGTGCAGGGATCTGCTCCCGGCATCCCTAGGGAGACACTGTAGGTGTGCATCAGGCTGTAGGCTGGGTGCGGGTGCAGGGTGATTTGATGGGCTGTGAGGTCATCCAGGTTGTCAGAGGGTGATTTGGAGCAAGGACTTCTCCCCATGGTGTTGTGAACCCCTTGAGTTCCCTGTCGTCTCCCTTCCCTCCTCCTCGATTTTCCTCTATTGAGAGACCGCATGTTGGTGAAAACAAACCTGGTTGATGTTCCTGGCAAGCTAAGTCTTGCTTAGAAAATGTTTGTTTTCATTGGTTTCTAAAAGGATTTGATACTGAACCTGCCCTTTCTGAGCTTTTCAAGATGGTTTTGATAAGTGCATGCTGGTGACTTTTGAAAACTGTTTTCTATGTGTGGATTCTTTGAAAATAAAGAGACAAATTGTGTGAAAATGCTTTGAAATCTTCAGAATTTTAGCTTTCAAAATATTTGTAAAATGCCTTTTCCTGTTATTTTTTTTCTTAGGCAAGCCATAAAGGGATCAAGGTTGACATGTTTGTTTGTTTGTATTTTCAATAGGAGTGAAGGTGATGAGAGGGTCTGTGAACACCTCTAAAAATCTTACCCAGCTGAGCCGTGACACACTCAGCTACAAAGATGTAAGAAGTTTGCTTGCTACAAGTTGTCCCCTCCTTCCTCCTGGCAAGGAAGAAAAGTGTTTACAATTAGTTAAAACCTTTCATTTTGCCAGGATTTTGTTTTTGTGGTTTTTTTGTTTTTTGTTTAGTTGTTGAGGTTTTTTTTAACTGAAATAGAAAAGTTTCCATTTTGCACTGAACTTGAATTCAGAGATTTTTTGATTCAAATGTTTACACTGCTTTTTTAAAAGACTTTTGATATTCTAGATGATTTGTCAATCAGACTTACTAAAATCGAAGTAATTAATCTTGAAAATACCAGGACTTTTCTTTTTTATTTACGTTACAGTTGTATTATATTTGGGAAAGTCTTTCTTTTTACTGAATATGACAAAGCTTGATCACTTTGCAAATTATTTCTAGCAACCCAAATTTGTGGCTTTACATGGACACCAGACTTCTGCTGAAAGAGAAGTTGTTGGCTCCTGGCTGAGTATCACATTTTGGTATTGACTTAGGAGGTAAATAATTTACCTAAATAATTACTAAATAATTATTTACCTAAATAATTACTAAATAATTTGTTGGGTTATTTTGTACTCCTAACAGTAAGCAGGCTGGGTTTTCTGAAGGAAATGAAAATTTGGCAGCAGGGCCATGAAGGTGCCCCTCTACTCTGCCCTGGTGAGACCACATCTGCAATATTGTGTTCAGTTCTGGTTCCTCAGTTCAAGGACAGGAACTGCTTGAAAGAGTCCAGCACAGAGCCACAAAGATGCTGGAGGGAGTGGAGCATCTCCCTTCTGAGGAGCAGCTGAGGGAGCTGGGGCTCTTGAGCTTAGAGCAGAGGAGATTGAGGGGTGACCTCATTAATGTTTATAAATTTGTAAAGGGCGAGTGTCAGGAGGAAGGAGCCAGGCTCTTCTCAGTGACAGCCAATGACAGGACAAGGGGCAATGGGAGCAAGCTGGAGCATAGAAGGTTCAACTTGAACATAAGGAAAAGCTTTTTCACTGTGAGGGTGCCAGAGCATGGCCCAGGCTGCCCAGAGAGGTTGTGGAGTCTCCTTCTCCGCAGACATTCAAAACCCGCCTGGACATGTTCCTGTGTGACCTGGTCTGGGTGATCCTGCTCTGGCAGGGGTTGGACTGGATGAGCTTTCAAGGTCCCTTCCAACTCCTAACATTTTGTGATTCTGTTACTTTCAGGCTGGCAGTATTTTAAACTAGAATTTGGGTTCATTAAGTAGAGATCTAATCAAGGGCTGGTGGTTTTGCTCTTCAGTCTTTGGGTGCAGAGGGAGTTGTCTGGAGCTGAGCCTCAAAATGCGCTTACGTGCCTCCCGAGCCTCACTTTTTATTAGGGAACTACAAAAAATAAGAAAGGAAGATTGACAGGCTTCTATATAGACACACACACGTAAATAGTAAACACTCCCAATGGGTTCGTGATGCATTTCTGTTTGGTAAAATAAACCAGCAATAGTTGTCATTGGTATTTAAAGCTATCTTTAAATATTCATGGAAAAGAATGAAAATTAGAAATAAAATTGCATGCCTCTAAGGTACTTCTTTGTGTTCAGCATTTTGATGCTTTCCATGGCTGCTGTGGAGTTTGTCTGGCCACATCCTGGTGCCAAGTGTCTGACTGATGTAGCCTGCAGCCTTGGTGGTGCAGGCTCCTGCCTTGCTGTGTCTCCAGAGCAGCTGAATCCTCAATGTCTGATTTCCATTTGCTTGAACAGTCACCGGCTTGGCGATCTCCACTGCACTGAGTGTAGAGATGCGTCTGTGAACATGTTTACGGTGTGTGAACAGTGTAAGCATAGGAGACTTGAGTTCATGTGAAATTAGGGGCCAGATTTTTATGGTGCTGACATCTCAGGATGCCTGAAAATTGGGTCACTCATTGGGATGCTTGACTTGAGACTTTGCTTTTTTTATCCTTCACATGGCTAATGTGGCACAGGATGAGGTCTAGAAGGGCTCTTTCCTGCTAAAGTATCAGTGATTCTCTTCAAAAGGAGATTAGGAGTTTGTGTTCAAACAGGTTCATGTGGGATCGTTGCTGCTCTGGGTTTTTTTGTCCTGCTTTTTTAATCCCTTGGCTTTCACTGAGCTCAGATCTTACATGGCGCTTAGAAAAATAATGTCCCAGTCCTCTACCAAGTGATACAAGTTTCATGGAAATATGCCCTGGATCTCTAGACGTGCTGTCCTTGGGTAATTGCTAAGAAGGATTTGAATTTTAAGATAGTGGTTGCAAATTTTGCTCACATTTGCAGGTTCTAGCACTTAGTGGAAGGATGGCTGTGAGTTCCTGGGCCACCTGGCGGTTTCCATGCCCACTCCTCATTCTCCCTTGTTTTTGGAGGCTTTTACTGTGTTAACTTTGGCAAAACACCATTTAATGGCCGAGGGTTTTTGGCTCCCCTCTGATCTGTGCAGCACTATTATGGAGGCAGTCTTATAATCAATGTAATTGAAGATCAGAGTTAATGAGGACCTCTGTGCCTGCAAAATCCCCCAAGCGATGCTGGGCCTCAGATGTTGGATAAGGAAATGATTGGGCTGAACTGAAAATCTATTTGGCTAATTAGATGATGCATATTCCCAGATGCCAGTGGGGGAAAATACATTTCACAAAATAAAGAAACGTAAGATTTTGTAAGAAAAGGTTTTTGGCAGGAATTAGCTTCTAACTCAGAGGGGAGAGAGTGAGGGAGCGTCTCTGATACGAGACCACTCATACAAGAAGTTGTTTGTTGGGCCAATTCACTCATCTCCAAGTAAAGAACTGAAGCGGGCACAGCTCGGGCTGCTGCTGCTTATCTACGCTCCGAGCCTGGGATCCAACGTCTCACAGACACCACCAGGCTAAGCTGGAGAAGTGACGCTCTGAGCTGATGCATTGGAATAATTACATTGGTCCACATTTCGGCAGATTCAGTATCTCATGCTGCTGGGTAGGGCAGGGGTAGGGCAGTGTCCCAGTGACCATTTGTTGGGGCACATTTTTACGGAGAGGAACAGTCAACTGAAGTTCTTTGTGTCTGATTGCTGGTGAACTCTATATTATTTTGCTGATCTCAATATCACAGGAGCTCCTGAAGAGTAGGGCTTTCTGATATTGGGTCAAAACACATTTTTAAAAAGAATATCTTTACACTCACTTAATGCACTTTTTTTCCCACCCTCCAGGCAGCAGCTTCGTTGTGAGTGAGGGGAGCTACTTGGACATCTCCGACTGGCTTAATCCAGCCAAGCTGTCCCTGTACTATCAGATCAATGCCACATCCCCCTGGGTGAGAGACCTCTGTGGACAGAGGACCACTGATGCCTGTGAACAACTGTGTGACCAAGAGACAGGTAAGGGAAGCTGCGAAAGAGTGAAGACCTTGGAAGGCTTGGAGATGCGAGGGAGAAGGTTTGTCCCGGGGTACTTTGATGCCTGCTCAACTCACCTCTGCTTTAGCCTGGTGTTAGGCACAGAGGACTGAGAAGTATCAACATGGTCACACAGTGGTGACCCTCATCAGCAAAGTAGAAGGGAAGTGGGCACAAGAATGGGTGTTTGAGATGGTGGACCTATCAATTCTTTGGTATGGCAACTGCAGACACAGAGAGTTTACCTGTTTCAAAGTTGTGCTATTTTGCCATCCAGTCTGGAAAACCTACTTGTGAGCTTGTCCCTTCTCCATCCATTTTCTTTTTTGATCATTCCATCACAGAGCACCATGTTTCCCGTTGGTGCTCCTGCCTGATGGTCGTCTAGGTGACATCTCCTCCAACCTTTCTTCGTGGAGTTGTGCACTCTGCTGACTTTCCTCATCTGTAAGTGACCTTTTGGCTGAGCATGTTCTGCTGGCACACAAAGGCTGCCCTTGTGAAACAGCAGACTGGGACTCTGAGCTGTGGGGCTGGGCAAAGGAGAAGTGTCACCTTCCCTTCTGGCCTATGTGGGTCTGGGTGACAAATGAGATCTGGAACGTGCAGTGAGCCAGGAACACAGAAACAGCGAACGTGCAATGAGTGACTGAAGGCAGGGGGTCTGTGTAGGTGGGAAATAAGTATGTGGCCCCATATGCCAGGCCTTAGGAGGTGACATCTCCTCAGCTGGCACAGGGTGATGGGACCGTACATGGGAAGGTGATGTGAGGACTATTCTGGTTTTTCATAACGCAAAGTTTGCCATCCCCTCTGCAGCAGTGAGCATTGCTCCTGCTCCCCAGTGCCTCACCTCGTGTGGAATAACTTCTTGGTGGCATGGAGACAAGAGGCATGGTCTGTATCTAAAGAGGGTGCAAACCCTCCGTCTCCTTGCAGAGAAGTCCTGTTCCCAGGTTAGCCCAGCTCTCCATATGAGCCACTTCCCTCCTTTCTTAGCAGTGAGTTTCTTCACTGTGTGTTTGTGT